GGTTACAGGGGGTTGGGGAGGTATGAGGGTGTTAGGGGGCGGTATGGGGGTGTTGGAGGTGTGTATGGGGGTGTTGGGGGGGGCTATGGGGGTGCGGATTATTTCGGGTTCTGGACAAAAAAAAAGATTTTTTTTTTTTTTTTTTTTTTGCGGGGTGCCTGCCGACCGGTCGGCGCCGACGGCGCCTACCGTCGGCTGGTCGGCAGCCGACGGGTCTGGGGTCGCCTACCGTCGGTGTGGCTACCCTGAGTATACACTATTTCCTTTTGCAAAGGTCCTTCCAAATAAACATTAGAATCGAACCTCACTTAATGTATTGTTGAAGTAAGTATTCGGTAAGATGAGGAATCGTTTTAATGATTTTTTCAGGTCCTACTTAATACATAATTATTAATTATTATATATCGTCACAAACAGAACTGCCCGGTAAACCGTAGGCAGAGAGRGAGAAGAGGACAACAAACGAGGGGCTGTGACAAACTGTTTCGTYGGAGTTTCACCGACTCATCAGGAGGCTGAACCCTTTAATTGCAACGGTTTCACCCAGTTTACCTGACAGATGCAGACAGTAGGACTCGAACCCTACACCTACCCCGTGACCCAGTACATTGACCCTATGACCCTATGTGAGATTTGAACCCGCGACCTGTTCCTAAATCCCGTAGGTTAGTTAGTTAGTTAGCGTGTTAGTCTGTCGTAGGCCTTGATCCATAGGTCTTCGTGTTAGCAGTCCAGTCTGTCACCGTTAGTCTCACTTAGGGTCTTTCTGGAAGTCTCTACCTGGCTCTTCGGTTAGTGGAGGGTCAGTCTCAGTCGTAGGTTCTTGAAGGTCGTAGGCTCCACTTACCATGTCTGAGTCAGCAAGGTGGCAGTCCACCTCATCCAGTCCGCAAGTACCAGGATGCTGTCCCACGCGGTTTGGGGCTCAGAGGCCCACGCGGTTTAGGCCTCTCAGGCCCACGTGGATCTCTCAGGCCCATGCGGTTTGGGGGCCATGGCCAGGGGCACATCAGGCCGGGCCTACCCACGAAACAGTATAAATAAAGTGCCAGTGCCCTGCTGTTCATTCATTCACCTGTGAGCCATGCGGAAGCGCTGCTTGAGCGACTTGTGCAAGGGAGGTCGGCAGGTGCCTGAAGCTGAAGTGGGCTGAGGAAGACGACAGCGGCCATAGCTAGGAGGAAGAAGATGACGGCGGCCATAGCTGCCAAGCTACTGACGTCAACAGAATGTACAGTGTGTGTGTGTGTGTGTGTGTGTGTGTGTGTGTGTGTGTGTGTGTGTGTGTGTGTGTGTGTGTGTGTGTGTATTGCGTGGACATTCAGGGTGGATCCTCGTGCGCATGTGTGAGTGAGCTTGAGGCTGATGGTGTAGTCAGTGTACGACTGGGACTTCAGACAGTGTTCGGTGGCCATAGCCGAGAGTTGTACAGTTGACTTGAGCTGAGTTTCTGGCCAGAGGCCATATCTCTGAGTTTACTGTGTTGCCGCATGTCGCCAGTGCAAGTTCTTTGCTGATTCTGAGTTGACGAAGTTGGTTTGCCATCGGCTCATACATGTATGCATGCTGAAAGCGACATTGAGACAAGCCTGACTTCATAATTTATGTTAATAATTACTTTTTGTGCAAAACCGACTGGCATTCAGACCTCCAGTTTGACACTAGACACCACACTGAATGAATGGTTACCCAGATGTTCTGCGCATGAAACATTGGAAAGAAGTTAAGGAAAACAGTTGGGGATTCTAAAATTTCACCCTTTCGAATGAAAAACAGAGCGACAATTTTGAAGTTTCAATTTTAACATTGAACATCAGTTTCAGTAAGCCCACCCAACAAGGCCTTTGGTTGTAGGATCGACAGCCGCACTGTTTTTAACTTTTTGGACTTTTCGGTTTTTCAAGGTGGGGGGGGCACAAGGGCGATACAAATACCTCTCCCCTCTTCCGAGCATCAATTTTCTTGAAGCGATTTCCGTAGAACTCGATTGTTGTCTGGACATGAAAAGAAGAGAGAAAACAATCTGAATATCTCAGGAAAACCTCACAGGCACCCTTCTCACCAACCATTTTAGCTTTACAATTTGCTACGCCTATGTTTGTTAACTTTTTGTTAACTTTGTTGAAGTTTGTTCCCTTTTTCTTTTTTTTGTGCAGGACCAATGTTACTCCCATCACAAACTGGAAGAAGAAGAAAGAAACTCCGTCAAGTTGTCGACCCATCAAAGCGCGCGCACTAAATAAGGTTCAGTAAACACACATTTTCATTGGTGTTATAATATCAGCAGTAGAATGAGAGCAGACTCGGTAGACCGATTGCCAATGAATACAACAACAACGACAAACGGATGGAAGCCGGAAGAAGGCTGACTACTGAAAATAGCGCAAAATTTTCAGAACTTCTGAGCTTGTCTCTGTTTAGTAACTTCGTCCTGGTTGTTCTGTTTTTCTCCTCCCTGTCTTCCTTTTTTTTTTTTTTTTTTTTTAACCACCAGACTCACCAGTCCATCCGAAGCTAAATTGACTAACCAAAACATGCATTTTGTTGAGCCTAAAAGTGACTGGTGCCGGCCATTGGAAACATCAACAGGGTACAGGTAATGGCCTCTGTATTATTAAGAAGTCTGGGCCTCCCGCAGACATCTTGGGGTCCGAAGGCTCTGTTCATCCGTTCCTCTACCGGCCCTGGGTTGAATGGCCGGAGGGAGGTACTCTCTCTCTCTCTCTCTCTCTCTCTCTCTCTCTCTCTCTCTCTCTCTCTCTCTCTCTCTCTCTCTCTCTCTCTCCACTTGATTGCTCAATCTCTTCACTTGGACCGCTCATTCTCACTCTTCGAATGCACTCGCCTATCTAACCCTATTCGCTATGGTGGTCGTCTTCTTCCTGGGTAACCCTAGCTATGGCGTCTCAGCGCTGGGTTCTCCCTCAATCGCCCAACCAATCCACCCCACTGTCGCACAAGCGTACAGAAGTGCTTTCACAAGCGAACTGACGAGTGACCTCCTCGAAGTACCATAGCTGCATATATAGCGGCCATCGGCTGAATTGAGATCTTTGTTGGCTTCAGACTGGTAACCCTCTCCCAAGGCCTGTCGGCTGCACTTTTGCCAGTTCCGAACCCACCGGACTTTCCCAGGATGCTGCCGCTAAAATTTAGACTGGGACTGGACTTTTCTTGTTGGGTACCGGGCCTACTGGACCTCCTACGACTCAAGACTTCCTTCCGCCCTACTTCGCCTGCAAATCGGCACTTTGGCTGTTGGGTCGGTTGAGTCAGTTAATTTTTGGCGATGGGGACCATTGGGACTCCATGGCTCTGGGAATAGTACCGGAATACGTGGGTGAAAAAAACTGTACCATGGATTCCAGAGGTCCAAAATGGACCACTTTTTTTCCTTCTTTTTTTTGGATACTTTGCCCAAGATATTTTGTGCATATTACTGCACAATAACAACAAGAATCATGTGATGAGTGAGGAAATGATAGAGATACGCAATCTCTTTTTCTGCAAGGCCCCCTTGCAGTTCTTTTTTTTCTTCTTCTAGTTGTTGCAAGGAAATGAGCAATGTGAATGACAAAAAAAACAGATTGCAGCATCCAGATAACCTACAGCCCGACTTGCAAGTAGATTGCAACACAAGGTAACCGCAAATAAGTACGAGCAAAAGCATTGATGTCACATGATGACGAAAGCCCTCTCCTCGCTTTCAGTCACCGATGTCAACAACGTAGCTCCCCTACATTGGTGCTTGGCGCTCAGATTACAGACAGACACCTCCTACGACCTGGGTTCTGATCTACAACGGGTCGGCTACGAAGATCATCAGCTCGGCGAATGCACGAAGGGTCTAATTCCGCGGCCTGCTCTTAGCCACTTGCACAAATATATACATATTACATATTACATATATTATAATCCATAAAAGGATGGAGGGCAACAGGCAACATACTTAACAAACGGCAATTACACAGAACACAAATTAATTGCACCACAACCCAAAAGACTCTACTCACACGAAAGAGCTGACAACGCCCCGACCTGCCCAATCCCTCTGGATCCAACCCATCATCCCATCCGACCCCAACCCAATCACGGCCGTTGAGAAAGGGGAGGAAAGTACGCTAGAGGGAGGAAGAGCAATCAATGAGAGGCTGGAGGACAATCCAGGAGCAGGGTGCTAGGATGGAGAAAGAGAAGAACGCTATGACGCATCTTTCTCACCCTCTACCTCTCTCCCCTCTTTATCTTCTTCTTCCTCCTTCCTCCTTCCTCCTTCCTCCTTCCTCCGTACATCTTTGTCCTCCTCCGCTCCCTTGTCCAACCGCTTCCACTCGGGAGCCTTCTTGTCCACCACCTCCTCCTTTCTTCTTCCTCTTTCTGCTCATCTGTACTCCTCCTCCTCCGCTCCCCCCCCTCTCTTCCCCTATCCCGACCTCCTCCATCCCCCCCCCCGCGACTTTTTTTTTCCTTTTTTTCATGACATTTTTTTTTTTGAATCGGAATTGATCATCGTTCAATCAATCAATCAATCAGTCAACCAAACTTTATGGTCGATCTTCGTTGGAGTGATGACGTATGAAGAATGTTGGAGAAAGATGGAGGAACGGGGCACCAGGATGAAGGAGGAGCAATAGGAGGACAAGAAGGAAAAGGTTGGAGGAATATGGATGGAGGAAGAAGCGAAAAAGAATGACGGCCTCAAAGAGGAAGAGGGAGACATGCTGAAGGACCAAAGAGGTGAAGATGGGAGGAACAAAATTATGGGGAGATTCAAGTGGGAGGAGGAGCAGTAAGAGGAAGAGGAGGAAGCAGGGAGGAAGAGATAGAAAAGGTTGGAGGTTGATGGAGGAGCAGGGCGCTAGGATGCAGGAAGAAGCGAAAAAGGACTACCAAAAAGAGGAAGAGGAATATACGCTGAGGGACCAGTAAGAGGAGGAGTGGAAGAACGAACACAAGAAAGAGAGGAGGAAAGAGGGAGGAACATAAATATGGGGGAGATTGGAGGGCGACAAAGGGAAGGAGGAGCAGTAAGAGGAGGAGCAGGAAGGAGGGAGGAAAATGTTCTACTCATCTATGTCCTCCTCCACCCCCCCACCAGCTTCACCCATCCAGGGCTCCTCCCCTCCTCTTCCTCTTTATCTTCTTCTTTGGCACCTTGTCTTTGCTGTTTTGGTTTGCGATGACATCTGCTTTGCTCTGCTTCTTCCCTCTTCTGTCTTTCAGCGTGTCTCTCTGTCTTCCCTCCCTCCCATCACTGCGGCCCGCTTCTTGCACCGCAGGCAAAGTAGTGGCGGGTAGACTTGGAGAAGGACGAGAAAGAGGACAACGACGGCATCCCGCTGGTTTCCACGGTAAAGATGATGACGATGATGATCACCATGATAATGGTGGGGAGAGGGAGGGCGGGCACGCTTATGGAAGATGAGGAGGGCTACATTGCAAAGATCGGTCCAACCAATGTCTGGGGAATTTCGCAAAATGTTTTTGTCGTCATCCATCGCCGCAGCGTAGCTGCGGCAGGCCCACTTGTAATCCATAAAAGGATGGAGGGCAAACGGCAACATACTTAACAAACGGCAATTACACAAAAAATTAATTGCACCACAACCCAAAAGACTCCACTAACACGAAAGCACTGACAACGCCTGCAATTGGTCTGAAAAAGACTTAGAGAGCCCTCTGAGCGGCCAATAAAGCTACCATAAATCAAACAAACTCCACAGGACCTGTATGCAACACCAAGAGTGCCATGAACTTCCCCCTGCCGTGCAATCTGCAGAATCAAATATCTCGTAGTGCTACAGCGAGGCCGCTGCGAAAACTATATCAAACACCACAACATCTCCATGGGACAAAACTCCAAACATCATTCCTACCCCCAGAAAAGTCCTGGCCACTCACAGACATTCCTTCATCAAAAAGACAGCCCATGGTCTAAAGCAGGGCAAAGAATTAGGCCATGTGTAAACAGACAAAGAATGGCTCGCTAGAATGAGCCCGACACTGTGTGTGTGTGTGTGTGTGTGTGTGTGTGTGTGTGTGTAGTGATTGTGTATAACACGGCTACCCCATATATGCTATGGGGAACAAGACCATGTATCTGTCCAATCGTACATCAGCGACAAGTTAGCAGCAGGTTCAACACAAAAAAGGGGGGGGGGTATGAGGGGAAACACAACTTAGCCATCAACTCCATAGTTGGAGGATGCCTGTTAATCATCAAAACATGAATTAGGGGGGAGTAAATTAGAGGTTAAGCTGAGGTTAGCGATGGCTGTTGAGGACAGCCATAGTTGAGGATCAGCTGAGGTTAGCGATGGCTGTCCTCTTTTACTATGCCTTGCACGTACAAGGCTGCCTACATTGATTGTGGTTAAGCGGCAGCTGCCCCCACATCCCCGTGTGCCTTAACGGACCACTTGCATATTATAACAGGGGGCAGAGTAGAGGGGAAGGTATGCTCCTGTGCATTTCACCTCAGATCTTCATACTCCTGTTCCTTTCACTTCAGATCTTCAGCTTATACTTTGTCTGCTCTCTTAACGATGCTCATTCATATGTATTTGCTAGAAGGGGAGGGTCGAGGGAAAGGGATAGGAGTTCTATAGGAGTGTGCGTGTGTGTGTGCGTGTGTGTGTGTGTGTGTGTGTGTGTGTGTGTGTGTGAGAGAGAGAGAGAGAGAGAGAGAGAGAGAGAGAGAGAGAG